GATTCTTGTAAAGTAGAAAAAAGGATGGCAGAGGCTCTCTGATTTGCGGTGAATTTATTAATAGTCACGCCAACGTGTTTTTGACTACTTAGTCTTATCAAAAAATACTCTTGGTGATATATCGATACAGTAGCCCACGATATCATTACTGTATCATCACATTAAACGATACGATATATTGATATTTCAATATTTTTACACATCCATAATGGAGGCATTATTGATTTGTCTGGAATGTTTCACAGTGTGGTATTAAACATTTCTATCATCATGAAGCTCAAACCAGACCAGGTTACAGGTCAGATCTGTGAAGAGGCGACCCCCGCTCAGTCAGAATGTCTGTTTTTCTAGGTATTTTTGATAGGGATGTCAAATTATCTCGTTGATTGTGATTAATTCATTACAGTCATATTTAGCGCGTTATGTTTTTTAATCGTGTTAATCTTATTTTTAATCTCTAACTTTACTGTTTCTGTACACGAGTTGCCTTATTATAATAGTCCTGCTCTGCTCGCTCCCGCAAAGAATTGTAGCCTAATTTTCATTGCCGTTCTCGCTGCATTTGCAATAAACCTGCACAAGTCTGATCTCTGAAAACATCGTGACACAGACACAGAACAGACTCACCTTCAGCATCAACATCCCTCTGTCACAGAAAGAACATCTATATTCCACTGAGTCATGTCCTTTAGTCCAAGAGAAGTTGAACCACATCAGTGCACAAGAGCATTTTTTTTTTCCTTCGCTTAGTTTATGCAAATTTGCCATGCGGTTTTAAGTTTCGTTTCTGTGAGACTTGTGCAATTCTGCATTAAACATTCTAATGTCAAACAGGCTGATGTGGCTCTAGAGTGGTGATGGTTTATATGTTGTAAAGTTGAGTTTATTTATGCAGATTAGTAATAGTAATAATAATAATGATGATACTTATATAAAAACGTTAATAACAGTATGAAAATAATGTAATAATGAATTCAAATGAAAATACCTCAAGTTGAAGCTTTTCTCAGCGATTTTTAGGTGAGATTAAAAAAGAGATTAATAAGATTAATTAATTACAGATCATAATTAATCTATCTCTCAATTTTTTTAAATCACTTGACAGCACACATTTTTGAGCTATAAAACCATCTGTAATTGAATAAATGTAAAGTCGATCTGTTTAATGTCACACTGTGGAACAATCAGGTGACAGACCCCCAACCAAAAAGTTAGAGTGTTTCTATTTGGCGAGAAGGTTTTGTGTGTTAAACATGTGTGAACGAAACAAAAACACAACTCCAGGTCTGTTTGCGATGAGGAAACAACATTAGAACAACGGTCATTAATAGTGGAACATGGGCCTTTTAATCGACTTTTTCATATCTACGCATTGACTGCACAGTAATCTAACCGCTAACCGCGAAACAGGAAGGCGGTTTAGAACGGGGAGTGTCAAGCCAATTTATTCTGGTGTACACACATCAGGACCCACACGCCGGTCTGTCAGCGCTGAAGGCCCACCGAGCCAACAGGTCCTCGCCCCTGACGCCGTCCAGCTGCTATGGCCCCTCGACGTTCGCTCGTAACTCATAACCGCAATCAAACCTGCGCATTCGTCATCCGCGTGCGTCCGCTGAGGAATTGTGTGTTTATTTGAAAAATCAAGCGAGATTAATCGGCTGAAAGTTTACTTCTCCACGTTTCCCGTCGGAGCATTGATCACCCCCGTACGTGTTTGAAGGAGGAGCTGCTGAAACTGCCTGTTAAACACATCCGAGCTAATGGTTTGGAAGTACATCTGATATGGAGCATGACCAACTCAGGACAAATGGGGAGTACAGTGAGGGGCAGGAGGAGGGGCAGGAGGGGGCTGTGCGGGGGGCAGTACTGGGTAGAATGGGGTAGTATGAGGTGCTGGTTAAATGATGAAAAAGTATGGAGTGGTGTGGGGCAGTATGGTGTGTGTGTGTGTGTGTGTGTGAGTGTGTGTGTGTGTGGGGGGGGGGCAGTATGGGGCAGTATGGGGCAGTACTGGGAGGCAGAACAAAGCAATATGGGGCAATAAGGGATAGTACAAGGGGTAGTGTGGAGGGCAGTAGTATAGGGGGTAGGTATGGCGGGTAGTATGGTATGGGGCAGTATGAGGGGCAGTATAGTATTGAGCAGTGTGGTACAGGGCAGTATGTGTGGGGCAGTATGGTATGGGGGCAGTATGGTGGGTAATATGGCAGGCAGTTTGGGAGGCAGTATAGTATGGAGCAGTATGAGGGGCAGTATGTATGGGGCAGTATGGTATGGGGGTAGTATGCTATGGAACAGTATAGTACGGGGCAGTATGTCATGGGGCAGTATAGTATGGAGCAGTATGGTACGGGGCAGTCTACTGTGGGGCAGTATGTTATGGGGCAGTACAGTAAGGGGCAGTATGGTTTGGGGCAGTATAGTGGTATGGGGCAGTATAGTGGTATGGGGCAGTATAGTATGGGGCAGTATGGAATCTGGCAGTGTAGTATGGGGCAGTATGGTAGGCAGTTTGGCGGTCAGCATGGTATGAGGCAGGACTCTGGGCAGTATAGGGGGCAGTATGGGGGACATTATGGTGGGAGGTATGGTATGGGGCAGTATAGTATGGAGGAGTATGGTAAGGGGCAGTATAGAAGGCATTATGGGGGGCAGTATGGTACGGGACAGTAAGGTACGGTGCAGAATGGTATGGGGCAGTATGGTGACACGGGGCAGTATATTGGTATGGGACAGTATAGTATGGGGCAGTATGGTACGGGGCAGTAAGGTATGGATCAGTATGTATGGGGCAGAATGTTAGGGGGCAGTACGGTATGGGGCAGTATAGTATGGGGCTGTATGGGGCAGTTTGGTGGGCATTACGGTGGTAGTATGATATGGAGCAGTGTGGGGCAGTTTCTGGTCAGGATGCAGCCCTCAGACTTTCAGTATTGTGCAGGTGTACTTAAGAGGCGTTTGTTTTTTCTTGTACCTACAACAGATTTCTTTTTTCCAATATTTAGTCTTCATGATGTTGTTTTGACTGAAGGACAAGATAGTTGTGCATTTTGATTTTATCTGATTTATTGGAAAAGTAAGCAGATTTTTTCAGAGGGCGTTTGATCGTACTGTCATGAATTCAAGGATGTATCATATCTAAACCAATCAAGTTTATTTCCCACTACTACCTTGTGCAAACCTGTTTTTATAAAATGGATCACTATGTAACTTTTCTTGTGATGGGTCCACCTCGTCTCCATGGAGATGTTATTGCTTTGCCTGGAATATTATGCTCAGTACAGTATTAACTTATCCATCTCCATGTAGACAAGCCGTATGTCTATGTATACAGGTCAAAGTAAGAATGCACTTTTTACATGGCATATGTAATTTCATAAATGCAACACTATGGAACATTTCAGGCAACCCCGTCCACCAAAAAGTTACATAGTGTACCTTTTATTCAGACTTTCAATATGTGCAGCATAATAAACAGTTTACAATGAAAAGAGGGCAGTATGATTTTGGAAAAAAAAAAATCTAATTGCAATTTTCACTTGACAATTATTGCAAAAAAGATTCTGTTCTGTTCGTCATATTGTAAATCATCCCTTCCTGGAGCATTAAGATTGGAGACTATGCTCTGATAAATACAACAATCACATGTAGTGGTCTAAGAATTGTCATTGAAAAAGACAGCATATTTATTATGTTTGCACCTTTTATGATTTCATAATTACACCAAGTCAAACTGTGATTTTGTTTTGATTGAGACATACTGTGTGTCCTTAAATGAAAACCAACCAAACATGCATCACACTCCCACAAACATGTACATTAAAGGACCTATATTACGCAAAACTGACTCTTGAGATTTAAGTCATGTTACAATGTTGTTCCCTCCTCAAAAACAGTCCTGGAGTTGTGTTTTGTTTTATTCACACATTTTTTAATAATCATTTATATTCGTATATTATATAGTATATTATCTATTAGTGTGTCTACTAGCCTGATTCATCGGACAGTTTTACGGTAGGCGGGTACTTTTTTTATTTAACCAATCGCTGTTATTTGGTCGTGACCTATGCAATGCTCCGCTAACGGGGTAACTGGTATATTAAGATTTTCCCAAATCCCGTAAGAAGAAGGACAATAACGTCTTTCCTCTTGATAAAATTCACTAAACATTCTCTTTGAATGTCTGTCTCTTCACTGATTGGCTGGTGCCTGAACTCGCACTTTCGGGGTTTTTGCAAACCGTCTAGCGTATTCTGATTCCTGACCTAGTCACTGGAGAGAAATTAAATTGAGCGGAGGCACTAGGTGGCGCCAGCATCACTCTGTCTACATCTCCAAAGCTCAAAATGCTCTGTTCCACCTTGTGATGTCATGTAGTGGTAGTTTTCAAGTTAACAGTTCCTTTTACCTTTAGTTCAGTAGAGATTGATTCCAGGGCTGAAATGATCCAACTCATTCTAGTGAAGACGTAAGGAGTTTAAAAACGCAGTGGAGCGCTTCCTGTATTACCACATGACATCACAAGGTGGAACAGAGTGTTTTCTGTTTCAGAGAGAAGAACACAACCTAAATGTGCAGGGTTTGTCTGTTAAACATGTGAATGAAACTAAACACAACTCCGGGTCTGTTTGTGATGAGGAAACAATGTTATAACAGATAAAAAAACTAACAAACTGCGTAATACGGGCCCTTTAAAGGCGCATTGTGTAACTTTTCTGGAGGATGGTTCGTCAAATACTTTTCTACATGGAGATATTATTGCTTTGTCTGGAATGGCCCACAGTTACAGGTCAAATCTGTGGAGAGGTGACCCCACAAGGTATTTTTGAGCTAGAAAACAACCTGTAATTGAATAAATGTAAACTAGAGCTGTTTAATGTCACACTGTGGAACATTCCAGGTTGCGCAATGACATATCCACAGAAACAAGCAGGTGGCAGACCATCCACCAGAAAAGTTACACAATGCCCCCTTAAATAAACAAACGATATACTCACAGTTTGGTGTCGAGCTCCTTTAGAAAGCCCTGTTTATCATACACTGCAAAGACACAGAGAGGGATATGGACATGTTAATACACCACAGCAACGTCGGACTTTGGTAAACCTAAAATATAACTGAGAAACCAACTAGCAGCCCGGTCGCTGTAGTTGTAACGCTTCTCACGGGGAACATAGAAGGAGCAGCATTAGAACAAGCAGGAGAACAAGAAGTCTACGCCGGGTAAAACAAAAGAAGAAGAAAAGAAGAAGAGACAGCGATCACCTATGTTACACCAGACACAGCCAATAGGTGTCTGAAAAGCATCGGAAAGGCTCATCGAAGAAGCAGAAATAAAAACGTGAAAGCAGAATTGAGTGTAAACTTAACACTGCTAGAGTTAATGGGATAATGTTAAAAAGTGAGCACAGGGATGTCCAGGAAAACCAAAAGTACAGGTCAGGTTTGGTGATTTTGGAGATTTTTATGAGTTCTACCTGCACTTCTTGCTGGTTTTAATGTATTTGGCATTAGATATTATGTTGTACAGCAAAAGTTTTATGTTAACACCACTTGCTCAAAAAAATTACAGATATAACAAACTTTAAAAACACAATTTATAAAGGAAGCAAAATGAACACTATCAAAACAGTACCGTCTAAGAATTTTAAAACTTCTACAGAGCTCTTTTGCATTAAAAATTCGCATACATTTTGAGAAAATTATGTCGTCAAACTTCTGAGACAAAACTGACCAAAATCTATGAGATAAATATATTAAGAATGCCACTACACATTTGAAAGACAACTCAATTTGATTAGTTTTTTTTTAAAATTTGTATGGTGTCCTTTTTAGATTCTGCTAGACGAAACATGTTTTTAGTATTACAATAAGCTAATGTTTGGAAATTTGATACAGTTTTGTCTTTATCTTTAATATATTTCTATAAACTTAGCATTTTTCTCCTTCACCAATTCACCATAAACCATTCAAAATGCCAAAGAAAAACATCCTTTGTGCATTTTTCCCTGATTTAAACTCGACCTGCTTGGCTTTCTTTGGACATCCTGGAACAAAGTGAAGCACATACTGTTCTCTAAGCATTAGTAGCATAATAATAATAATAATAATAATAATAATAATAATGATCAACAGGCGCTGACAGTCAGAAGCAGAGGGCTGTGATCCCGTGGCGGTCTTCGCGGTGAGGCAGGAGTCTGGAAGAGGAGAGGTGGAGGAGGATGGGAGAAGCGTGGAGCTGGTTAGGGTTAGACACGAGCGGAGAGAGAAAGCGCCGACGTGAAGCGTGAGGGAAAGACACGTGGAACAAGGAATCTCCCAAGGATGTGGCGCCCTCTTCTGGCTGCATACGCTACTTACAGCCTACCAAGCTGCAATACGTAACAGTGACCAAAAGAGGGCAGTGTGGTACAGTTGATGAAGAGAAAGACTACTCAAGAAATGGATGAGTAGTAGTTTTTTTTTGTGATGTTCAGTACTATTTCATTTCTGTAGTAGTTTTGTAGTTCACTTAAAAATATGAAAAACTTCAACTTTTAGTTATTTTCTGACCAGGAACAATTCTCAAAGGAGTTTCCTGCAAACCACTGAAATGCAAAAGATCGATGTTTATGACAAACTACAGATTTGAACATTTAAGATGATTCTAGAGTCATCTAAAATGTCATAGCTTGTGTTTGTTAAGAATTATTTTTGCCTGTTAAAAGGTGCGTTGTGTAAATTTACATCAAATGCTTTTTTCCATGCAGATGTTATTGGTTTGTCTGGAATGTTTCACAGTGTGGAATTAAATCTTTCTATAATCATGGAGACCAAAGTTATTATTTTTTATGTTTTGTGTGTATGTTTTATGTTTTTATTGCTATTTTTAAGTTATAAAACCACCTGGAACTGAGTAAATGTAATGTAGATGTGTTTAAAGTCATACTGTGGAACATTCCAGGCAAAGCAATAACATCTCCATAGAAACAAGCCGGTGTTTGTTTTTCTTCCACCAGAAATCTTACACAATGCACCTTCAAGAACTCGCTAAAACTCAGAGTAGATAGAAATTAAAATAGAAAAACCAAACACTGTGGCTTAATTTAAAGTTATTAATTAGTTTTTCCTTTAGCGTTTGGTTAAAAGGGACACAAACCTTTGAAATGTGTTTGAATAAAATACTAATTAGCGAGCTCATTATTTGGCGTTGATCCAAACAGATCCTGACTTTGAAATTCAAATGACCGTCACGCAGGTGGACGGGGACGTTAACATTACAAAGTGGTTTTAAATGCTAATTGTCAGCGCTGGATTCATTCCGTTTTTTTTGTTTTTTTTAGTTCTTCTTCACCTGACCGTCAAGCCTCGAGTCAGCATAAACATCATTCTACATTTGAGCGGTTTGCAGCAAGGTTTCAGAATGGCCGGCCGGGTTTGAGGAAAGGTCTACCGTGGGGGCTCTGTGTACCTGAGTCTACTATTCGTCCCGCGGTGGTGTCCGTCTCCATCTCTGCGAAAACAAAACGGTTAGCAGCGTTAGGATCCCTTTTGGCCAACTTAGAATTGGGCAAACTCTGAACAGCAGAAAAGGGTTAAGGTTAGGGTTAGGCGAGTAGCAGCGGGAGTCATCATGATCCCATAAATTACATAAGTTGTATTGTCTCCAGCTTCAGATTCAAAATATACAGTACATTCAGTGAGAAATTAACTTTGTGGAAAACACCCACGTAAGGTTGCTGTGGCAGCGCAGTGTTGAAAGCTCCATGAAAACAAAACGGACCCCAGGAGTTTGAAAAGACAAGCTGGACAACATCGAGGACAGCGAGAACGAGTGGAAGTTGGGGTTCCTCTACCTGTAAGGGGTCTGGCTCTTGCTGCTATTGGTTTGACTTCTTTGCGTTTAGTGGTATAAACTGTAGTAGTAGTAGTAGTAGCGGGAGTGGAAGCAGTTGTAAGCTCTGCCTCCCTCATCTCTGAAAACAAAAAGGTTAAACACTGAAAGATGAGCTGTGAAGGAAGCTATGTTATTTTAAGGCTATAAGTGTAATATGTGGATAGATTTAATGCCGTACTGTGGGACATTACAGGCAGTGCAATAACATCTCTGTGGAGACGAGCAGGTGGCAGATTATACATGAGAAATGTTACATGGTAGTGCACTTTAAACTACTTTCATGTTTCACACAAAGTAAATATTTGGCCCTCCACGTAGCACTAAATCTAAACCAGGTCTTCCAAAAAGAACTACTCCAGGTTAATCTAACAGGGCTGAACCAAGTCTAAAATACTAGACTAGAAGGACTAACCCAGACATGTCAAACTCAGGCCCAGCTACTCAAATTTGGCCTGCAGTGTAATTATATTTGGCCCGTGGTATAACAAATATGTATTAGAGCTGACCCGCTGGCTACACATAGACTACAGAGACATTACTTATTTAAAACTGTGGTATTATTTTATATTCTGCTCGTTCTAGATTCAATGTTTAAGCAAAACTATTATTAACATTTTCATATTTTAAAATTTTAATAAGAAAAGGTTTAACATTACTGATCTCGAAAGAAGAGAAAACATACAGATGTTGTTCAAATTTTTCAATACATATTCAGTTTGGCCCACAACTTAATCCCAGTTTTTAATTTTGGACTCTGTGAATTTGAGTTTGACTCTCCTGATCTAACCCAAAAAGATGGAATGTGAATCAAACGGACTTTAAATTAAGTAAACAATAAAACAGCGACCAAGAAGAAGGAGGAGGTACAGTACACGCGTCTAGGGCTGGTATCATTAACAGGTTGTCGATACGATACATATCTCGATACGATATGTATCACGTTACAGTGAGCTTACGATTCGATAAGATATATTTCAAATCAATTCGATATGGTTCAATAAAAATAAAGCTAAATTATGGGTGTGATATTAAAAGTCTTTGTTAAACCACTTCTTGTGTAAAGTTCATATGAAACACAAACATTTAAATCATCAAAACTGTGAAAATGTCAAATGTGTCGCATAAACGAGTTTCCTTCCTCTAAACAAAACTGTAGCTGTAACAAAATAATTTTGTAAAATATTCCCAAACATGTATACAGCAGCTCACTATATTGATACTGTACCATCACATTAAACTATACAATATATCTAATCAGCTGACTGGACACGTCACAGCAACATCACGTGACCACTCTGAGGAAGCCGCTAGTGAGCAGTCCAAACTGTCAGGTATGAAATAACACTCTAGGTCTGAAAAAAAGAACCTAATAACATACAATATATCTATATATCTCAATATTTTTGCATGCGCCACAGTTTGAGAAGCACTGTATTGTTGACACAAAATCTCTCTATAACTATCAGATTTCAACAACAAAAACATCACTACACAATGGCAATTAACTCAACATAGCATAGCAACACAATCACAACCACAACCGCATTCTACGCCTGTCTCTATAATTATTATATTGTTATACAAGGGTGTAACTATATCCACATCTCATGATACGATATTGTCACGGTATGAACCTATAACTATGTCTATATCTCTTCCTATAACTCTTCATTTAAGCAAAGAGACTTGTAATTCGATATATTGTGATGGACACGATATTATTGAGAGAACTTTGACGATACGATATCATGGTATTTCGGTTACTGTTTCATCCCTATTGTTGTTTTATGTTTTTGAAAGCTGGAACAATATTTTAGGGTCTGAATTTCTTTAGACTAGTGACCTTTTTCCCTTGTACCACAGCATTTGAGCTGTAGAAGGTTGAATAAATACATCTGACTGATACTAAGTACTAAATAAGGGCTACGAAATTAAGAAATTGTCTTGTTTATGTTCAGGAAATCAATACTGAAATGCATTTTTAATTTGTTTTTGAAAAGAAGAAAGTACTGAATCAAAAAGCAAGATCGATCAAAATGAATAAAGAGAAAAAAAAAGTTTGCCAAAGTGTTTCAAAGGGCCAATTATTTATTTCATCTTTTTAAATTTGGTATATTTTATGTTTAGAGTCTGGTTTTCAGCGATTATTCTGCTTTGGGGTTATACGAGAACAAGACAAGACGAGATTTGGACATTCTTTCTAATAAATACATTCAGAAATGGAATCCAGTTTCCAATTTTGGCCTCAACATTTTTTATTTTCTTCATTTCATATTTTTGCTCTCATTGTAGCACTGCTTTTTGGGACTACAACTTCTCAAAAAAATGTAACTCTCCAGTACTTCACTCCGTTTTTTAATCCAACCCAAATGTAAAAACATGGGAAAAACATCTTGTGAGCTCATTCTCAGCATGCACGCACGATCTTGTGGTAATTTTGTCTCATGAGATCTTGTGGCACGAGCTCTTGTCCCATCTCTAATTTTGAATGTAGCAAAATATTACTGAATAAAAACATATTGTAGCAGGAATATCAACGTCACATTAGCAGACGCTGTATTTATTTAGGGTCTGGTGCAGATGGAGATCCATGTTTTTCCTCGCACTTCTTTTTTTTTTGAACAGCCTGCAGGTGTTGATTTGAGAGCTGGAGGTGATGTTCTTGTTACTAGTTCACACGTCACGCACGAGCCAGTACAGTACGACTCTGTGTAAAATGAGGAGGGAAACACTGTACGGCATGGACTGAGACCGGAAAAACTCCAGTCAGTTCCGTGTTATTTATCTTTAGGGCTGGGAATCACAGGGTCCCTCAGGGTTCAATACAACACACGAAACATGACTGCAGATAAGGTATTATCACGATATGCAGATCCAAGCAATAATCGATAAATCACACATGATAATTTAAGGCTACGTTCAGACTGCAGGGCTTAATGCTCAATTCAGATTTTTTTTGTGAAATCCGATGTTTTTGCGAGGTCGTTCACATTTCCAATTCAATGTGACTTGTATGTGACTCCAGTTTGAACATTAAACGGCCCAAAAGTGTCCCATATGCGCACTAAGGGACACAACGACGTCAACCGCAGTGAGCGTGCTCTGTGTTTACAGAAGTTGTTCAAACATGGATGCAGCATTGAGCACCTGGAGATTTTAAAGTTCCTCTCGTACCGGAGACAGAACATGAACAACTTACTTGTTTTAAGGAGGAGATTGAGAAGGAGAAGGACGAGGTTTTTGGCCGTGTTGTTTTGTGGGACAGTGGCAGCGACGTCCGTTGAAAGGAACGTGTGGATGTGAAGACGTAGCCAAGAGTGGTGAGTGGTGATGTGCTTCGCTTCAGTGACACAGAGTTCATTAACAATTTTCGTATGACAAGAATGTTTGTGTACATTTGTGTCTTGTTGATAACGTGTAGGTGGATGAATGCACTTTGGCCGTTCAGACTGAAGTCACATGTCAAAAGATCAGATATGTATCAGTTTCAGGAGCACATATCCAAGTGTCCTGGGTCACATTTGAAAAAATCGGATCTGTGTCGTTCAGACTGTCATTAAAAGATCAGATACAGGAACATAGGGGCAAAAAAATCAGATTTGGGTCACTGAACGTAGTGAACGTAGCCTAAGAACCAAGTACATTTTAGCAACAGCATTTCGTTGCTAAAGGTGCATTGTGTAACTTTTTTGGTGGAGGGTTCATCAAAAGCCTTTCTTTATGGAGATATTATTGTTTTGTCTGGAATGTTTCACAGTATGGCAATAAACTTTTCTATATTCATGGAAACCAAACCAGACCAAGTTATGTTATTAGGTTCTTTTTTCAGACCAAGGGTTTGTTTTCATACCTGACAGTTTCGACTTCTCACTAGTGCTCTTCCTCAGAGTCACGTGATGTTGCTGCGGGTGGAGGTAGGACGACAGCGTCACCTCCAGTCCCACTTCCTCAGGACAGTATCCCAGGTGTGTGAGAGTAAAAAAGCCCCTCGTCCCGGTTTATCGTCCCGTGGGCACGTTTCTGTATTTCAATTGCCTCTTTAATCCAGCGAGGATGTTTGTTTCCCTCTGTCCCGCTGATGTTTATTCTGTCCCAGTCCATTGTTTGGTTCTGTCTTTTACAGTGGTCAGAAATGGTTGATTTGAGTTCCTGTTCTGCTTTTGTTTTATTGCTCGTGTGCACACCTTTGCTATTTCCTTCTCGCATTCTGTTCTTTGTTCCTTTTATTCTTGTATTACACATCCTCCCTGTTTACCCGATGTGTGTTTTATTGCAGGACATGCAGGGTGTTTCGTACATCACATTACATTTATGCTCCGGTTCCATTTTATCCCTTGGCCTGAAAAAAGAACCTAATAACGTAAATTATCAGAAGACCAAATGAACCTCATCGGACAAACCAGACCAAGTTACAGGTCAGATCTGTGGAGAGGCGACCCCGCTCACAGCCAGAATGCCTGTTTTCTTGTAACTGAATAAATGTTAAGTAGAGCTGTGTGGAACATTCTGGGTAGAGCAATGACATATCTACAGAAACAAGAAGGTGATGGATCCGCGACCAGAAAGTTACACAATGCACCTTTAAACCACTACTTGTGTAAAGTTCACATGAAACACATTGATTTTAATCATCAAAACAGTGAATATGTCAAGTGTTTTGCGTAAAAAAGTTTCCTTCCTCAAAAAATTGTAGTGGGGTCACAAAGTTTGAGGTGATGCTCAGCTCACACATCGCACAAACCCGCAGTACAGCACGGACACACTGTGTAAAAGTGACTAGTGAAACATTATAAAGCATAAACCAGGACTGGAAAAACTCAATCTCCAATCAGATCTAAATTAGTGTTTATATTTATTGTAATATTCAATAGAGAGGCAAATTCTGGAAGTCTAAAAGCACTGTGATCTCGTTCATCTGGAAAGCCTCAGAGGTATAAAGACGTAAATGGTCCACTAATGCATTTATAATGATGGCTAATGACAAATTGCTGCCCGCTGGTCAAGAAACAATGAGGCACACCATAAACAATTCAAAAAACCATTCATCTGAACTGACACAATGTCCCAACTAAATAAAAT